CCATAGTCAACCCTTTTGAGCCTAAAACCTTTCTCATTTGATAACCATGTTACAAGCCTTTACCTATTTTGTAGTGATCCTCTCTTGGCACCCGAGCTTTCCTGAACACTCTTGAGAAACAATTGGCTAAAATATAAGTTTGGGGGAGAGATGAGAAATTTGAAAGTGGTATCAAGGTACAAAAAGAGAAAAGAAATGAAGAAAAGGAAAGGCAAAGAAAAAGAAAGAAAGAACAAAAGAAACAAAAAATGCAAAAAGAAAGCGAATAAGTTGAAGGGATTCAAAGAAAAGCAAAAATGCAAAGCATGGAGAAAATAAAGAAGGAGAAAACGAATATCATGACCAAGAAAGAGTGATGTTAAGTCTCTATAGTTACCCTAAGGAAAAAGAAAATGACTCAAAGAGTCGGCAAAGCATGAGCCAAAAAGAGAAAATAGAGTGCTTAAGGAAAGATGAACCCGTTCTATTCCAAAATTTCCTACCTTAGTCCAAAAGCCTTCATTACATTCCGAAAAAGCCCTACGTGATTTCAAGCCGAGTGAACTTACATTAGTGGTGATTTACATGAGGGGCAAGCATATGGTACTTAGAGCCGTACTTGTGACATTCTTTTGAGAGAGATGAGCAAACTTTTCACAAATCCTTGAAGTGAGTGCTACATTCTTAAGTGAGATATGCTAACGGAGAGTAGAGGAGGAGGAGTTTGGGATCCACAATGACCTACATGAAAGAACAAACTTCTTTGATGAGTAAAGTCAACTCTTGATGCTCTAGTGTCACATTAGAACAATTTGTGCTTAAAACTTCGAATCATTGCCTTGTTGATAATTCATAAGTGTTGTGGGTAAAAGTTGGTTCCAATTGATGTGTGTTTGATTCACCTTAGATTAGATGGAATAGCTCTTATCTTGTGGAGGTGGGAATTACCTTATTTTCCTGAGGACAAACAAAAGCTTAAGTTTGGGGTAGTTGATAAGTGGGAATTTTGACTACTTATTAGCGCCTTTTAGCTTTCGTTTAGTCCAAAAGTGTCTAATTGTATTCCCGAAAACTGATGAAATATGCTTACCTACAGGAGTAATGGAAAATGAGCCACTACGATGAAATCCAACTCAAGGAGGCATTCTGAACAAGGACAAAAATCAGGCACAAAAGCTCAAGTGCGGACCGCAGATTTCTATCTGCGACCGCAGAATGTGAAGGAAAATCAACAGAGCCTCAGTGCAAAGTGCGGACCGCACAATTATTGTGCGGCTGCAGAAGCTACGTAAGAGCCAAATTTCAGAGAGTTTCATTTCAAGCTCAAGAAGAAATGCGGACTGCACAATAATTGTGTGGCCGCAGAAACAGCTAGGCGACCACACTCAGGAAATGTGCGGTTCGCAGAAGAGCCCAGTGCGGTTGCACCTAGAATTGTGCGGATTGCAGAACATGAGAGATGCGGCCGCAATCTAGAATTGTGCGGCCGCCGAGTCAACTCCTGTCAAGATCTGAAGAGAAGTGCGGACCGCACATATAATTATACGGCCGCAGAACCTCCGAAAGGGCAATTTTATCCGAAAAATCCAGCTTTGTATAAATAGACTACTTTCACGAAATTCGGTTAAGTTTGGAATATTGAAAGTCCTGTAGCCGTTTTTACTTGCCTCTTTAGGCAACTTTAGCTTACTTTGATGATTTAACATTGGATTTTTATCTTTTAATCTTGCAATATGAGTTTTATCATCTTTTCTCCTTTATTTTCTTCTACACCCATTATGAGTAGCTAAATTTCTAACTAGGGTTGTGACCCAACCCTAGTGTGTAAACCTAATGGATGTTTGATTTATGGCTTGTTTATGGTTGAGAGTTTATTATTTAGCCTTGTTCTTGCTTTTGATTGTAGAATTAATAGTTGCAAATATTAGTTCATGCCTATTTGACTTGGTCTCTTCTTGAGAAAGAGAGACTTAGTCTAGAAAAACTTAGTTAATAAGAATTTGGGATAAAATCAAGAGATTGATAGTCCCAATTGAAGGATTGAACCTAAAGATAGTAAAACCCAACTTGAGCATTTTATCAATTGTTTTGTTCAATACCCATTTGGACTTGAGAAAGCTAAATTGGAAAAAATCACTCTCTTACCGAGAGGTATTGAGTGTGTACTTGAGTGTTGATAGCTATAATACACCCCGACCAACGAAACAAGCTTTAAAGTTTACAACCCGTTAGGCAAACACCTAGGTGAAGGTCATAGCCCTAGGCCTTTTACACTATTTGAAGGCAACAACAAAATAATTTCTTAGTTTTAATTATTTATCTTGCAATCTTAGTTTAAACTAGATCTAGAATCAACCAAATCGTGTGGAAGTGTAATTTAAGATAGTTCAAGCTCATTCACCATAATATATACTTCTAAATCCCATTCATATAGCTCCTTGTGGAATTCGACTCCGACTCTCTGTTGAGTATTACTATTGCATCGACCGTTTCATAACCTTAAACAGAGGTGTGACTTGGATGAGATCAATCCTCAATGGCGACAGAAACGCCATTAGCGTGAGGAGGCATAAGCACCGCCAAAAGGATGGGGTCAGTTCCCATACCGGAGCCAGAGGGTACGTTAACCATAATTTTGATGAGAGAAAGGATATTTAAGTAAAGAAGGATTAGAAGCAACAAGAATCACTAAGACCGGGAAAGAAGACACACAACAATGGAGGAAGGAGAAGAAGGCACAAGGTTTTGATGAGAAAAACACGTAAAGAACAAATGAATGTAATCACACCTCTATTTATAAGAATTCAGGCATAAAAAACAAAAGATTATGCCATCATTACTCATCGCTGGAATCGAAACAACAGCCCCAACTGATAATCGCACGGGAAACGACGCAAAGTATCGGGAAAACGCGCCATAGTGACGCATGATGTCATGGCGTCATTCTGGTGCAGAAACGACGTAACTCCCAAAAGTTGCGGCTCACGAAAGGCCACGTTGCTAGCTTGTCCCAAACTTAACTACTCAACCTACTCGTCCACCCTCCTCGACCATAGCCGATAAAGTCCGCTCATCAAGGTCGTCTGAGACGGCCTCAATAAGTGGAGGGACTAACTGTATAGGTCAAAATCTACCACAGAACATTTATGGCAAGGAAGTATTGAGGGAAGAATCAGTCGAGGTCGATCAGGAAATGGCGAAACTCGGGTCGGGACGTTTATAATGGTCGAGTACGAGATCCACGGAAAGAGTTGTAACGGCTAGTTTTTAGAATAGAATAATAAAGGGAATATTATGAAGAATATTCTCTGCACATATACTATTAGGGTTTACTAAGGATATGTCCCATATAAGGAGGACAAAAGATAAGAAAAAGAGATATGTAATATTCAGGAGATAAGAACAAATTTCGGAAAAAGATTATCTCTCTCTAGCAAAGATACAAACATTACCTTTTCGTCAAGATTCTTATTGGTATTATTCCATACTTTTCCGTCAGATCCAAGAATAGTTCGAACATTTTAGGATTAATTTGTCACTCATTATTGTTAGGAGGAACAACCGTTTAATTCATTCTTCATTGGGTGAATCATTCCTCCTATTTACTTAAATATTATTTATTACTAGTAACTCCTCCATTATAGCTCGTACTTTTTGAAAAATTTAATGCTTGTTATTATCAATCTCCCACAATCCCACTGAATCTGGCCCACCTTATCCACACTTTCAAGATCCGCATTTAAAGATATTATCATTAACTAGGTTTAACTCTTTATTACATAAATACAATAGTTTAATCGAAAGTTCGGATAAATATTATTTATAAATATCTTCTTTCTATTTAACATAAAAGAAAATACTACGTCCTGCTCCAGACCCGACCAATATCGTTAGACTGTTCAGACAATTTTGTGGAACTTCAAGTTGTTGGCGTAGGTGGGAGAGGGAACGTGGCAAGCACAAGGACACAATCAAAACATGTTGAGAAAGATGTTAAAATTAAGATCGTTATAAAGCCACATTCACATAGAGCCGAATCCGGCCACTTGTTGGGAATATGTACATAATGAGCTGCCCTCTCTAGACTAGTGAAATGTTGTTTTCTCTTTCCTTTTTATTTTTATTTTTATTTTTATAATTTTTTTAATTTTCACTAATACTATGAATTGGTATTCTTTAATTCATTCATTTGAAATTGTTTGAATTTCCACAAGTATTTACAATGTTGATTTGACTTGAATGATATAATAGTAGTGGTAATGTAAAAGAATTTGCAACAGTTATGAAAATATTAATAGTATGGTAGAGAAAGTATCTCTTGTTCAAATTTGTTGAAAATTATTTTTATTGAGCCAAAGATCTTTCGGAAATAGCTTCCTTACATCCACAATGTAAATTGTTGGTAAAGAAAGTATCCCGTCATTTTAAATCCAAAATTTAAAAATCGATAACTATAATAACAAGGTGTAATATAATAATAATAATAGTAATAATGCTTCAATTTCCAAACAAGTTGGTATCCAACTATCAACCGTATGAATTATTATCTCCGGCTAATATTATACAACAAAATTACACAAAATAAAAAATAACTAAAATAGTGACAGTTGCATAATAACATCATAAGATTGATGAAATGGTATGAGTTGGTGTCACACCTTGGCATCGACCAAACTCAAACTATATTGGACTTATGATATTTGCCCACCTTTACGAAAAATAACAAAGCAAAATGGGAGCAGAGAACTGGTAATTGCCATCTATTCACGTTCGTTAGCCCTTTGTTTCATTTCAAATGGGTTAAAGACTATCAAATACTCAATCAGGAGTTACTTAGGTATTCTACCAATTGTTTTTTTTTCCGTGAAATATTTTTCTACCTAAAATACTTTTTTTTTTTGAAAATGGTAGATACATGGTTGAAAGCTAAAAAAAATAAATAAAAAATAAAAATAAAAGTAAAAAGATGGTCGATAGCAAAGCTAAAGCTGCGGACAGATTTTTCTTATCTTATTCTCCTCCAGTCAATCTATTTATCTTGCCTTTTTGTGTTCCTGAAGTTTCTCCTTCCATTCCATCAAACAGCAAACGTGTGAGAAAATCTAAGCAAAAACCATGGCTGCCACACTCAGCCTCCTCAAACTTCCAATCTTGCCCTCAAAACAGCACCAAACCAAACCCAAACTCTCAATTCCCAGCAAGCATTCAGTTACTCTTCTCCCACAAAAGCTCCTCCTCAACGAGACCATTGACCAACTCAGATCAGCTTCTCTTCCTCTAACAGCACTTACATTGCCTTTCTTTCTCGATGCCAAGGCATGTTTTTTTCTTTTATATTGAGAAATTTGTTATCTTTTTTCTTTATTATTACTGAGCATACTGGCTTATGTGACAAATTTGAATCTTGGGTTTTGTAAACAGGATGCATTTGCAGTGGGTGGAGAGTTTGGGATATTTGAGGGAAGAACTATTGCTCTGATTCATCCTACTGTGATGACTGGTTTGTTTGTATACACTTTATATGCGGGTTATCTTGGATGGCAATGGCGGAGAGTTAGGACTATTCAAAATGAGATTAATGAGCTGAAGAAGCAAGTCAAACCTGTCCCTGTGACCCCTGAAGGCACCCCTGTTCAACCCCCTAAGCCATCCCCTGTTGAAGCCAGAATNATGAAATTTCAGCTTAAAATTTTTTTCCTTCTTTCGTGACACTAGGAATTACAATGACACATGTAGGAATTTATGGTAGAGTACATAATATTTCATTTTGCACAATTGACAATCTTTCAGAGATATAATCTAATATGACTAGCTGCTAGTTTCCTAATTCCTACTGCACTAGTAGAAATTCTTTGGTTGTTCTGGCTTTTTGCTATTAGGGTTAGAGCCGTGGAATCCGGGATACTTTGTGCACCGGGCTGCCCTTTTCTGGCTTTTTGCCAGTGTAGTGCCCTATTTTGAATAAACTTCCCATCGCAGTTATTCTACAGCATGTGATGGGAGCGGCTGTAATGTTGTATTCCCTTTTAGTTGTGCTCCCAATGTCATCACTTGCAGGTGTACTTCTAACACTGGTGTTCATATATTGTCCACTTTCTGAGTATCTAAATCTATTCTTTTGCTGTTTTTGAACTTCAGGAACGGAAGGAGCTGATTAAAGGTTCATACAAGGATAAACACTTCAATGCAGGTTCCATATTGCTTGTATGGGGGGTGTTTGAGTCGATTGCTGGAGGTGTGAATACCTGGTTTAGGACTGGGAAGTTATTTCCAGGGCCTCATTTATTTGCCGGGGCAGGTAATGTTCGCATCTCCTATTTATCTGAGCAAATTGTTGACCAAAGGGAAAAAGAACAACTATATCAAAGTAGATTGATTCTATTTTGCATCATAAATGGTCAAGTTTATGATTTCTGAGCTGTTGCGTTCTGAGCCATTCCATTAAAGAAAAACAAGAAAAAAGAGAAAAAGTTGCGCAATATTCTCAAGTCCCTAGTCTATACTTATATTTACGCAAAAGTGTCATATGTTTCATCCTATCTTGCTTTTTCCGCTTTATGTGAGTACTAGAAGATTGGATTTCTTAATTTGTGTGACACAATAGGTAATATAGAATATTCAGAATAGGAAAATAAGTTAGTAGAAATATCTTTCTCGTATTTAAAAAGGATGTTTATAGCTTTCTCTTAACTTGGTGTCCTATGATACAACAAACAATTAGGCCACAATTACAAACTAATAGTAATAATTAAGGGCAATAGTACTATGTAAAAAAGAAGAAAAAAGGTCTTAAATATTCCACATACATGTGGAATCCTATACTAGTATTCAACTATAGTATAGTAATATTATGTATCTTTATCTCTATGATTTTCGAGTTAAATGCTACCCTGTGGTGTAGAAGTAGGCTAAGAGCTCAATTATGGCTTTGAGAACTATTCATAACCGCATTACTAGTTTCGTGCATGTTGCATTCATGTTCTTCCATACATTTGACAACTTTTCCAAATTACTTCAATTCATAGCATATACTATATTTTAAGACAATTATAGCTCACCCTCATTCATTATTGAAGATCAGAGGAGAACTCGATTTGATCTACAATGGAGGAATCGAAGGTTCTAGAGAGAACTCTCAATCTGTGGATGAGAGAAAAATGAGCTTCATTTCTAGAAAAGCATAATGGGATTACAATGCTAAGTTTCCTATATATACAGCTGTAGTTGGTATTCTACACTTCACTAACTAACGCGACACTACTAACTAACTGACTAAGAAGAACTCAACTAACTACCTTTCCATAAATTAGTTATAACTAACTAACACCCTCACATGCTTCTCACGTGCTCCTCTTTCCTTCAATACTCCCCCTCAAGCTAGATGGCGTGAATAAGTTGAGCACCCCTAGCTTGTTCATCAGATACTCATGTTGTGATCTTCCCAGAGCTTTGGTGAATAGGTCGGCCTCTTGATCTTTTGACATCACATATCTTGTCTTCACAATTCCTTGCTGAATCCTTTCTCTGATGAAGTGCAAGTCTATTTCTATGTGTTTTGTTTGTTCATGGAATATAGGATTCGCAACAATTTGAATTGCTGCTTTGCTATCACAGTTCAGCTCAACTAGTAAGTCAACTTCTGCACCCAATTCTCTGCAAAGCCCAGTTAGCTATAGGATTTCTGAAACCCCTGCTGCCATACTCCTATACTCAGCTTCTGCTGAGCTTCGTGACATTGTGCATTGCTTCTTTGATTTCCAGGACACCAAGGAGTCTCCTAGCTTCATTACATATCCTGTCACTGATCTCCTAGAAACTGGACATGATGCCCAATCTGCATCGCAGAATGCAGTAAGTTTGGTGGGCTGGTTTGAGCTCATTAGCAGTCCTTGTCCTGGAGCATCTTTTATGTATTTGACCACTCTAATTGCTGCATCCATGTGTGATCTTTTAGGACAATGCACGAACTGACTAAGCACATGTACTGCATAGTATATATCCGGCCTTGTCATTGTGAGATATAATAGGTTCCTTACCAATCTCTGATAAGATCCTGCATCCCTTAACTTCTCATCACCTTCATAGTTATTCTGTTTATCGTATTCAGCGGTAGTAAATCTCTGATTACATTCCATTGGTGTGCTTGCTGGCTTTGATCCTGTCAAGCCAAGTTCACTGATCAATTCTAGGGCAAAAATCCTCTGATTCATCAAGATCCCTTGTTTGGATCTTCCTATCTCAATTCCAAGGAAGAATCTCAATTCTCCTAGGTCCTTGATCTTGAAGCTATGTTGCAGTATGTCTTTGGCTTCTGAAATCATCTTATGATCATTCCCAGTTATGAGAAGATCATCTACATATACTAAGATGATTACCATTCCTGTGCCCAATCTTTTGGTGAACAGTGAGTTGTCAAAATGGCTTTGTGTGAAGCCTGAGTTGATAAGTGATTCAGTCAACTTTAGGTTCCACTGTCGTGAGGCCTGTTTTAGACCATATAGGGATTTGTGTAGCCTGCATACTTTCTCCCCCTGGCTAGGAAATCCCTGTGGCAAGCACATGTATACCTCCTCAGTCAAATCTCCTTTTAGGAATGCATTGTAAACGTCCATTTGGTGCAGGCTCCAGTTATGTGCTGCAGCTAATGCTAATACAACTCTGACTGTCACCATTTTAACCACTGGTGAAAAAGTTTCTTGGTAATCTAGCCACTCTATTTGGTTGTGCCCTTTTGCCACTAGCCTTGCCTTGAATCTTTCTACTTCACCATTTGCCTTGTATTTTATCTTGAACACCCATTTGCATCCAATTGGCACCTTGCCTTTTGGCAAGTCTACCAGTGACCAAGTGCCATTTTCTTTAAGAGCATTCAACTCTTGATCCATTGCTTCCACCCACCTAAGGTCTGTCATTGCTTATTCATAGCTGAAAGGTTCTTTAGTAGCAGTAAATTTGGACAAGCAACTCTGATATCTGGCTGAGAAACCTCTATGACAGAGGTACTCTTCCAATGGATATCTGCAGGCTTTCTTTGCTGAGTGCTTTGTGGATGTTCCTCTGCATACATAGTCTTGCATCCATATAAGCTCTTTCATTGTTCTTGCTGATTTCCTCAGCTTCTCTTCTCCTCTAGTAGTCCCAGAGTCTGCTAATAGAAAGGCTGTGTGGTCTTGGTCATAATCATGTTCAGCAGGTGATGTTCCTTATTGTATTAACAAATCCTCTCCTTCTGAACTGTGTTGTGAGTCTACAGATGGTGATGTTGTAGGAGATGTAATAGCTGCATCTCACGAGCTGTCAAATTTGCCATAGGTCTTTGCTGGTACCCCTGTTGTCTTCTTTCTCATCTTAAAATCTGGAAGATAACCATGTATCTTATAGCAGTTCTCCCTACTGTGGCCTTTGTAATTGCAGAATTCACAGTACAAGATATTCTTTCTAGGTCTGTAGTTATTTCCTGAACTCAGCCCACCTTTGTTACTGAATAATGCAACTCCATCAGATATGTCAACAGCCTGTGTAAACTTTCCCAAAGATTTTTGGCTTTCTTCTGATATTATCATAGAATATGCTTTGTTAACACTTGGAACTGAAGTCATCATTAGAATTTGACTTATAGGCTGACTCTAAGTCTCATTTAGTCCCATTAGAAATTGCAGTAGTCTTTGGTACTCAAAATATTCAACATAATTTTTGGATTCTTGGCATTCACACCCTGGGCAAGGCATGAGAGCATCATACTCTTCCCAGAGATCTGTTTGCTAAGCTGAAACTGAGGAAATCCCTTGGTACAATGTAGTTATTTCCTTATGCAGATAGAAAATTCTAGATCAATCTACTTTATCATATTTGTCCTTCAGATCTGTCCCCACTTTATATGCACTAGACTTGTATGCAATTCCACTAAGTAGCTCTTTGCTTACGGCATTCATGATCCAAGACAACACTATAGCATTGCACTTTTCCCATAGCTCATGTAAGGATCAATCAAATTTATCTTTTGTGCATCTTCCATCCACAAAACTTAACTTGCTTTTACCAATTAATCCAATTTTCATCGACCTACTCCACAGTGCATAGTTCTCTGTACCAGTCAGTTGAATAGAGATTAAGGAGCTACCTGGTGTATCACATAGTTGTAGGAACAGAGGATGACGATGATCAATGGTGATCCCTGTGCTACTTCCAGCTGGAGTTTGTTCGTCAATCGCCATGGATGTCAAAAAATAATCAAGTTACTTTTCCCTTGCACAGATTCTGGACTTCGCAGACAGCTCGATCACAGAACAAAAAAAGTTTGCAGAAAAAATTTCAAACCCTAACTCGATCAAGTAATATCGGCGATCTTCCAACGAATCTCAAATCACAGCAATTAGAATCAATATCCTCAATACATTGTGATCCAGATCCCCTGCTCTGATACCATATTGAGGATCAGAGGAGAACTCGACTTGATCTACAATGGAGGAATTGAAGGTTCTAGAGAAAACTCTCAATCTGTGGATGAGAGTAAAATGAGCTTCATTTCTAGAAAAGCATAATGGGATTACAATGCTAAGTCTCCTATATACAGAGCTGTAATTAGTATTCTACACTTCACTAACTAACGCGACACTACTAACTAACTGACTAAGAAGAACTCAACTAACTACCTTTCCGTAAATTAGTTATAACTAACTAACGCCCTCACATGCTTCTCACGTGCTCCTCTTTCCTTCAATATTCATTAAGATTTCTGGACAACTTTATTCATATTAAATTATTAATCCATCTAGTTGAATTATGTGAACCACCTCATTACCTATCCAAAAATAAAAAGAAATATGTGAACTGTCTCATTTGTATTAAGATGTTAGATAGTGAACACTTTTGCTTATTCATTTTATATCTTGAGTCAAATACGGGGAAATATTTCTGTTGATGGTTAGCAAAGAGACTTGAATCCGGAAGTCAGTTTGCTATGCACTCAGACAAAATGTTAACTGTATTATCTGCATCATCCAAAAAAGTTTAACTGTTAGAGAGTGAATACTTCTATTTCTTTTATCTTAGGTCTACAACAATAAAGTATAGACATTAAATAAGATATTGTTCTTTAATGTAAAATGTTAGTATTTCAAATTCTTATTAGAGGTTAATGGTTATATAACTTGACTAGTCTTACTATATATAGTGTGATATTTACAACATGAGGCTTACTAATTCCTTACACCAGTTCAAATTTGATGGAGCTAGAAAGAAGGAAGCCTGAGCTTGTCTACTTCGTAGTTGCTGCTTAAATGCTTAAACGCGCTTTTTAATTAAAGTGGGACCAATAGACCTATAATCCGTGGAACTTGTGAGTTATGACTCCTGCCTAAATATTATAGGAAGAATTAAATATTCTAAAGATTCATATTTACAGAGTTCTTTGAATTTACAGATGGGATGACTTTTTAAGTATGCCGTATTCCATCTGTTATCAGTGACTTTAATCAAGTAGCACATGGTTGTAATACCAGAATAACCCTGTCTTACAAAACTTCACAACCATGTATAAGTTTTTAGTATTCAAGTTCCAAGTGTTTAATTTTTTAGAACATTATGTTGGTGCGAACTTGCTGCCAATGCATACAAACCAAAATGCTAGTAACATTTATGTGTTCAACCTCTGTTAGTCATTTTATTTCATGATGATTGGTAGGTTTGGTCTTGTGCAAATTTGTCTGGATAGTGAATCTTTAGTTCATTAACTAGTATGTGTTAGTGACGTAATTAACTGTAACTTTGATCGAACAGGGATTACAATTCTGTGGGCAGCAGCAGCAGCCCTTGTACCAGCAATGCAAAAGGGGAATGAAACAGCAAGAAATCTGCACATAGCTTTGAACACATTAAACGTTATCCTCTTCATTTGGCAAATCCCTACTGGAATTGACATTGTCTTCAAAGTATTCGAATTTACCAGCTGGCCTTGACTTGTTCGAAGTTTGAAGGTCGAATTGTCTTCTTTCTTATGTAAGTATACGCAATAGAAGAGAACCTACTTACTGCGGTATGGTGCAGTGGTTATACCAGGTGTAATGGCCCTTTCAAGGATTTATCTAGAAATAAAGAAAAAGAAAAATAGGTTCATTTAGATACAGGTCAAAACTAATAGTCTAAGCATGCGTGTAACAATAAAGCTACTATGCATCAATTTAGAATTAGCTGGAGTTGACGACATAAATAGTTTTTATCCATTTCTCTCTGTTCAGGTATTAGAGTACTTTGGAATTATTGGTTTTAGAGGTGCCTCAGCTGCAATTCAAGATCCCTTCAGCTTTATGAACAAACCTTGTGTTGATTTCTGAGTTATATTGTCGTTTCTAAACTGTAAATGGCGTAAGTCTTGCCATCTTTTCCGTAATCAACTCATAACTGGAGCATCCTTTTGATCATGATAGAAACCCGAATGCAAATTGCAATAGCTTCTTAGTTTATAGGTGCAAGGAAATACCACGTTCATTAATCTAACCCGTTATCCAATCAAGTGATAAGCAGCACGAAGCTATGCTCTTATTTTTGTTGAAAACAATTTATCCTTTGCACCTGGATTCATGTATACGATCTGTTTTAACAGCACATTTGTTTGATAGTTGGAAATGATTCAACTAGTTAATAAATCCAAGATCCACCAGCATACTTTCATTAAGCTAAAATACTTTAATGGACCAAAGTACTAGGAAAGAAGACAATAATCAAGTGTTCAAATAGTGTATAGGCACAAGCCGTCCTACTGGTTCGGCCGAACCCAGTAGCTTTAGTGTATTTGGTATTTTGAATTCATGATATATGTATAAATATTAAATCTAGAACTCAGTTATTAACAATTGAAGTTGTGATCCAAAAATTCAGAACTCATAAGGTTGAAATCCTGAATCCGCCTCTGAATTAACATGGAGACAACATCATATTTCAGAAGCTTATATAAGGAATCTGACTGTTACTTCGAATAGATCAAAGTACCAGTAAGACAAGTAGTGTCAGATACAAAAAAAGCTAGGATGGACGGCTGAATATGTAAAACCTGATTGCTACAACTTGGAACCCCGTTGAAGCCTCTTGAAAAGGGAGAGCATCATATATTCAGCAAGCAAAGTCAAGACAAAGACAGTTGAAGTGAATGACACCCCAAATTAAAATACCTCTTTTTGTTGAACTTCAACTTCAAGAATCTTATTGATGTTCAACATACAGTTTTTAGAAAAATAGCTGATAATATCGATCAAGAACAAATAAAGCAGGAAAAACAACTTATCGAATTAACGCTCGTCGTGACAAACTACTGCCTTGAAAGCGATTTCGGCCCGACTAGACTGCAAATCGTTTAAGACCGATCAGGGCCGGCTCCAACCTTACGTGGAGTAAGGCTTGTGCCTTAGGCCCCCAAATTTAGGGGGCCCCATTTTTTGAAAATAATAGGTTCATAGGTATTTAAAAAATAATATTTAGTATTTTTAATACAAAAGAAGAGTTTTTAATATAAAGGAAAGAATTTTTTTAGATATATAAATAAAAAAATAATTTGACTTATTTAAAAATGTGTAGATGAATAGTTTTCATAACTTTTAGTTTTTTATTTTTTACTCCATTAAAAAATTTGCTTTTTGTTCCTTAATTTGTCAAGTCAATCTTTCTTTTGTTTCAATTTCTTCGTATTTCAGAAAACTCTACATATTCTTTTGTGTTTCTCTTTTATATTCTTACTTACTTCTTTCTCCGAGATTTCATTACTTACCTTCTTTCTCTAAGATTTCACTAGTCCAAGTGTTCAACAATACTTTTAAACTTCCAATAGTTCTATACTCCACTTCTATTACTTTGTAAAATCTTATCTAAGATCAACAATATCTCAAGAAAGATTAAATAAGTTGGCTATATTATCAATCAAGCAAGAATTATTAGAGAAAATCGATTACAAAAAAAATTATTAACAACTTTATATCTCAAAAAGTTAGAAGAAAAGACTTCAAATAAAAACATATCTTATAACATTCTTTTAAAAATTTAGGCCTCATATTAAACTTTGGCTTTAGGCCCCGTATGTGCTTGAGCCGCCCCTGAGACCGATTGCTCCCCAAGGTTCTATAGCACCTCCAAACACGTGCACTCGTGGATGGAAGTTTGGAGGTTGCACAAAATAATTGCCCAAATACTGACCAAACACGTGCACTCGTGGCTGGAAGTTTGTAATTTACACAAAATAATTGCCCACACACTAACTTGAGAAGAAGAAGAGAGGAAGGTTTTTTCTTTGTTTGAAAACTTCACAAAATAGCTCCTTAATCAGGAGTTACATAATTTAATTCAAAGAGAATGAACTTGGACATATTCTGGTAAGCATGTAATTTTAGCAATATCAAATTTGGATTAGGCCTCACGTATATCTTGCGCGTAGGGGAGGGAAAATTGACTCATTTTGCCTTCAGGGTCAATTTCTTATGTACGTAAGATCACTTCCTTTTGCTAGCTCTTTACTAGCCCAATAAAAAACAACTCAAGATAAAGCGAACTTTCATAAAAGACAAAGAAGTGAGAAAGAAAAAAGTTGCATTACCATCTAATAATAACACCAACAACAGTAACATGTTAGTCTTCCTTGCTTTCTCCTTTTCGCTTATGACGTTTGTGTTCTTGTAACCAAAGATGAATCTTGAGGCAAGGATAAAGAAGGAAAGAGGATTCCAGCTAAAAGGACCATATATATGCTGTCTACATACGATAGATGGTTTGTGCAGAGTCTGCATCAACAGTAGTGTAGAAGCCGCAATTCGAACATTTACTTCATATATATGGCAGAGATTCCGCAGGGAATATGAGCATTTCACTCTGCAGCTCCTATCTGTTATGAAAACGGCTTGTCAAGGACTCAAAACTGTTAAAAATTCTGTTACCCCACCATCTCGGTTGTTTGTGCGGTAAGTTTGTCACCGAGTCTTTGAGAAGCCAATCAAAGTGAAAATTGAGAAGTTGAAAACTTCTTTTCCACTAACAAAAGGGATATGATGTTTTCTTGATGAATGCAGGCACCAAAGATTTGATACCAAATCCCTGAAAATGAACCAGATGCTTTTCTTACTCTCTTTTTTTACCTTTTTGTTGTTAATTTTGGAACTTTTTGTCCCCGTCTTTCACGGTGAATTCCTCAAGCATCCTCAGTCATAGACTTGTATATATTAAAGTGTGCATCAAAGAATTGAATAGCCAACTCATTCTAGTTTCTTTATTTGATAAGGTAGAAGTTAGTGCAGTGCGCGTTCTGTAATGTACTAGTGTGTTCCTAACGAACTAGTATTAGAATGTCAAACCAACAACGACCATTTTCATGGTTCAGGTTGGCTCCTTTCGGTCGCCAAATGCAACCAACCCCAGCTCCAGCTCCAACGCCACGGCCAACAGCACTTAGAGCTCCTGCTCCACAGCCATTTAGGCCCCCAGCACCTCAGCCTCGGCCAACTGTTCGACCACCACCACCTGCTGTCACATCTCCTCCTCCACCTACTAGAGCATTGTTCCCTGGCATTACTACTATTACTGCTGCAAGATCTCCAACAACATCGACTGCCCCTCCCTCTCCAGCGAAATCAATACCTGCAATAACATCTGTCCCTTCTTCTCCTGCAGCAACTTCCACATTTCTCCCAATCACATCCTCTTCTTTCACCTTAAGGAGCCCTGAAACCAAGACCTCTGCTCCACCTTCCTCTTCATTGACAACTTCTCCATTCCCAAAACCAGTACCATCACCACCTAAAACTGCTGCGCCTACAACTCCCATCACCACTGTCACTGCTTCTACTACTGCAACCACAACCTTATCTCCAAGAACTATCAAGCCTTTTAAGGAATCACCACAAAAGTACCCTGAAACCAACCCTCTGTTTCGTCCACCGCCTCCAGAAAAAGAACCCAAGCGTGCACCAGTGGAAGAAGAGACTAAGAAACTAATGCTGGGGCAAGGAACCGCTGGAAATTCTTCTTCTAAGATGAATGAGAAAGCTGCTACTGATAGTAAGAAAGTTACTGAACTGAAAAAATTACCAAGGAGATTGGTAACGCTGATTGGTGAAAACAAAGGGGCCATAATGGTATTGAGTCCTAATTCCACCAAGAAATCTTATACTAATGGCTTTGGAGGTAAGTCTCAAACTGTTGGAGGCAACAAAGAAGAAGGTCAAACCCATGTTAAAGGGTCAAACAAGAAGAAGGAAGATCAAAATGAGATGAATACAATGGAGATGGAAGAGTCTACACTGTTCATTAACAGTAATGTACAAGGAGTAAACAACTCCATTTTAGATGATTCAAGTCTCACTCACCATGATCCTGGTTTTCATATCTTCTTCTCAACGGATTAAAAGCCTTATGCATGGAATCCATATATATGTACGGTCGAAGGTAATAATAATAATAATAATAATAATATATGGTGTCTGAGGAATTTTGTTTTGATTGATTAATAAAAGTGAGTAGGGAATGGATTCTGATTCTCCATGTTCGAGCTGTAGTCCATCTTTTATGTACTTTATTTTCGGCACTAATTAATGTATTTCCTTTGAAGTTGTTGAATATTTTATCGCGAAGCTCTAGTATAACATTCATAAGGAGCATTCTCTAAAATCACCATCTTTCCGAAGGAAATCTAATTCTCGTATTAAGGAATTATTTTTCATTCCATGGTTGAGTATGATATGGCCTAGCTATTACAACCTTCTACGTAACAAATTTGACACGAAGCGTAATATGGACAATTACAAACTCTCATCATTTCGCTAACCTTTGTGTTCTAGCTCTTAATTAAACTGGAACGTAACTGACCCATTTTAATGTCGTTTCTTAGTTTTCTTTTCTTTGGGGTGGAACTTTGGAAGGGTGGACTACTACCCTACATTGGTACTTTTTTTTAACCACACATTTAAGATTTGTTTTTTTGGAAATTTAAGAAAATTTATTATGTAGGCACTGAGACCGAGGGTTCCAAAAAATTTATCAACGGTGGGTGAACTATAACATAAGTAAGAATATTATTTTACTTATGGTTCAATCTACAAAGATCGACATCTATATACTCCTATCAGAACCTCCAAAACCTTAGAAGGATAGGTCAATTGATTTAAGACCTTCATACCTCTGTTGTAAATTGTTGCAAAACTTACGTGGCACAATTATTTAACCCAACAAGTGACTGTAGGCTGTAGCCAAAAGTTGGAAGAATTGGAAATCTAATAGAAGAACGGAGTAAGTGAAGAGGGACCACAAGAAAAGACGAGAAACAAGCGGACCAAATGCGAATATTTAAAGACA